AGTACAAAGCAGTGTTTGCTGCTTAGGTAAGCAAATTATTTTTTATTTACAGCCTGTAAATAAAAAAAGAAAAAAAATCTAGATATAAATGTCCTTTTTTGTGTGTATACAGCTATGGTATCTTATTGCAACAAACTAACCAAACCCTTTTTAGAAAACACTGATCTTGATCTAAACACTTGATGTAAAGTGTTGAATTAAGGTGACTTTAAGACCTGTATTGCATGTTTCAAGTTCTTAACTATTAAATCTTGTTAAATAAAGAAAAGGAATGGATTCTTCTAAATGGAAGATGATTTTTAAAGCAGGAGATATTGTTCATTATTTGCAAGGGGTTTTTTTGTCAAAATGTTCAACTTGTGTTTCTTACTTTTTTTTTTTTAGTGAACTTAGTGAAAAAGAATTAGAGAGCCAAAACACCTTATTTTATATTAAGTTCCTCAAAACATCACTTGGAAGAGATGTTGAGCGAGTTTGTGATGGTCTGGCATGATCTGAAATCTCAAATTTTGAGGCTCTGAAGCAAAGGGGTTCAGGAAGTTTCTTTACAGGAATTCCATTCCCACAAGTCAGCTCATTTCACTGAGGGACATGGGAAAGCATCAGGCTGTGGTATATTCCAACCACTACCAGTTCTGCTTCTTGCAGACCATCAGGGATTGAAGGAAAGGAGACAGACAGATAAAATTACAAGATTATAGTATAAAAAGATAGTTTGCAATATATTGGTTTATGATCATTGTCCTTGAAGTCCCAATGGCACACAAAGTGTAATAATTTAAAGTGAAGGAGATGATAAAAAAGGCTTTGATGTTATCAAAGATTTAGGATTTTATTCTTATTCAGGTGTTGTACTCCTGAAGGAGAGAGTAATTAATAATTGATTTTCTTCAAGTTTGTGTCTAGCTGATAGAAAATGAGCTGCTCCATGCTAGACAGTAAAGTTACCATCAGAAAATAGTTTCAGTAGGGTTAAGGTTACATCAGGCCTGCTTTGCTAATTGGAGATTTTGGACTCATGAAAAGACATGAGACAGCCTCTTTAGCATTTCAATGCACATTTTGGTGGATTTCTGGCCTGTATGTACTCACTAACCTCCTCAGTAATGTAACACTTAGATTCCCATCTGCATAAGACAGCAAAACCCATCATGCATCCCAGCTTCAGCTGAACTTCATACGTTTTGGCTTTTGGCATACACTGTAGGTGGAACTCCAAGTGTTCCAGGTGTTGAAGTGTGCTGCTGCCAACCTTGATAAAATACCAGTGAAGAAATCATCTGTCCTTACCACTTGCTTTTGCATATTTTAAGGATCCTCATTTGAGCTGGTGTGGTCTCTGCTGTGCAAGCTGACTGCAGGGAAAGACACTGCAAGCTCGGGTTCTGTCTGTCAAAGGCAGCACAGAGAGAAATTAAATATAAAGCACATGACATGATTACAGTTTGTATGACTTAGAAAATGAAGTCTTCTACAACTTATCTCAGTTACTCTTAATAAATAAGCAGTCTTATCTATCTCTGCCAGCTTTGATGCTCTGTGTCTGGGGTTACAGTTGTTCCTTCCCCACTCTGTGTCACCTCTGTACTTTAGATCTGTAAAATTCGAGCTGCAGGGTTGCCAAAATGAGCTTTAGAAATTGTCATTTAGCAAGGATGTGATCCACATTCCCCATCTGCAGGCACAACTGTTGAGCAGCTCCTCATCTCAGCTGAGAGGTGAATTGTTGTGGTTCCTTTCCTCACTGGGTGGTTTCAGTGCTGAGACTCAGGGTGGGCTGAAAGACTTTTGTGTTGGGAAACAGGGATTCTTGTTTTCTGACTCAGGTTATACAGCATCACCGTGGGCTGTTCGAATTAATTTGTAAACTTGCTGTGTGCCATTGCAGCTGGAGAGGACTAACTGCAACCATAATTTATTTAAAAGTTCCTTTGTGTTACTTGGCACATGGAAGTGATGGTGTCTGCTTAATTGATCAGGACATGTCGCATGAGTGATTTAAAATTTCCTAAAATTTGACTATACAAGCTTTTGTTGTGGTGCTATTGTCATGGGATGCATTCATCTAATGTAGTGTCTTAACACTATTTTGAAGCTGTGTGTAGCTTGAGTATCAGAGAGTGTGTTTTGAAAAAGCTGGAAGTCTGAGGTTTGTAAATACGTGAGTCTTTCTTCAGGTTGTATTTTAAAGTATTTTTATTTCTGTACGAAATTGCAGTATTGTTTCAACAGAATGAGTTAATTGTGGGTGTCACTGAATTCACAGAATCATAAAATTGATTGTTTTGGAAGGGACTTTAAAGGTCATTTGGTTCCAAGCCCAGTTCTTGTATTCTGTGCTTTACAGCACATTTCATTTACTTAGGAGTCTTTGACATTCCTCAGTCCAAGTAGAGAAGCCTCTGTCATAATCATAGTGAAATTTCAATGTGGCTATAAATGTTGAGACTGTAGGGGTGTCTCTGTACCTTTTCTGTTACAGAACTGAATAAAATGCTCTACATTTTTTGTCCCAGATTTAATATGCAGGAGGGAAATTGCTCAAGTCAGGATTTTAAAATGTTAGCAGATAATGGAAGGAGAAATCAGGGCATGGTACTACAAGATAAAGGTGGGTTACACACAGATCTAATCCTCTCAGAACTGAAGTTTACAGACTCCTCTTTGATTTATGATTCCTCCAACTCTTTGCCTGCTCAAAGCACACAATGTGATGGCTGGGTCCAAGCTTGGCAAAACCAGGAGATAAAAAAGTAGCTCAGGCAATAGCAAGAATTACTGATATTCGTAGAGTTTGGGTGAATTTACAGAATTTGGGGATCTGCCTGCAAGTAAGGATATGGTTTTGTGAGTGTCTGCACTCCAGTGATCTACTCTTCTATATCAGAATATGTTAAAAGCATTATTTCATGTATCCAGAAGGGCTCTGTGGGGGATTAAAAACAATGGCAATGCAAAGAAAAAGGTTCATTTGAATTAAATATGTTTCGTTTCTAGTGATTTGTGACAATTAGGAGTGAAAGGAGGTGTTGCCAGCATTATTCCAAAGCTGCGGTTTAGGTTTTGAAATGTTTTCAGATTGGCGTAATCTAAATGTATTGATACTGTTTTAAAGCAATTTTACTTTGAATGCTAAAAGAGGAATCAGGAACTTGGAATAAGAAGGTGACACTGATATGTATAAAGTGGAACTTTTTCATAGAAGATCACTTTTTGAAACGTGGAGGGAGGATTCTTAGTCAATAACTGTATCCTTCCAATGCCAAATGAAGTCAGTTCAACCTTTTTCATTTAATGATGAAAGTGCATTTCTATGTATTAGAGGTTTAATTCCTAATAATTTTTAAAATGTCTGTGGTAATTTTTGGTAAAAGACCAAATACTGAATAATAGTGGGGTGTGGATTCAGAAGGGAAAATAGCCATCAGTATGGGGGATTTCATTGTGTGTTTGGAGCGAGGAAAGAAGAAAAAACAAAAAAGCATTTTCTTGAGTAACTTGTTCTGAGTACATCACATGTCCATGGTTGTGCTAATAAATATCTTCCTTACTTGTGAATATTTAGACTGGGATTCATTAACTGCTTTTGGTATTCATGTTCTCTGTCAGAAATAATCCTATTTCGAGAAATCTTTGCAAGTATGTTGTATGTCAAAAGAGTACAAAACCTAGATTTTAGCTATGTGAGTACAGGTTTGGTGGTGTGATGGATTACACACTTCAGATCATCTGGTGTGTAAAGGAATACCAAAAGGCAGTTATTAAGGTTTGTAAGTGCCCTCAGAGGGACATTTCTGCCTCCTCAGGGTACCTTTTATTTTCAGAATGGTGTTGCTTTGCAATCTCATTGCTCAGAAACGTGTCAGCTAACTTCCAGTTCATTGTTTGAATGGAAGAATTTTTCTTTCAAGATATATTAAGGCATTTATTTCACTCAGCAGGTGAATGTTCACTCAATAGACAAACTTCTGAACAAAGGCTCTTTCCATCCTCAATTTTTCCCTCACATCTTTTTGAGAAGACTTCAGAATGGATTTCTTTAGAACTCACATGTCTGTCATTAAATAAGTAGCAGTAAAAAAGGATTGATTTGCCACAGCTAGTGCACTCTTGAAAAAATCCTATTCTGTTTTCATAACATACTAATATTTCGTGTTTGAAAGCTTGACATACCCTGTTTATCTGATTGTAGTTGTTGTTATTAGCATCAGACAGAAGATTCCATACTACAAGTTAAGGCACCAAGAACTTAAATCATCTACTAAAAGGTGCTTCCAAAAATACATATTTGTGCTGGTGGTTTTTAAAAGGTTGCAATTGTTCTAACTGATGTTTTGGCCAATGTAACTTCACTTTCAAAAAATAACTCCTCTTTTTTATTTGAGTGTAATAGTGACATTTGTCTGAACTAATTTTAATCTTTTGATTCTGAACTACTGGGATTCCCTAAGTGTCATAGATGAGAGAAAATCATGAGCTTTTGTAGAATTTCCAAGTGTTTTAATGGATGTTGTTTGTATCTAGTGATGCCAAACTTGAAATAAACCTAGCTTGTGTAAAACAGACAAACTGAAGCAGTTCACAATTCTGTTACTCTTGTCATTGTCTATTATCCTTTCAGATTAGGACTGAAAGAAGGAATTTTCTCACCTCTGTTTTCCTCCCCATTTGGATTTTGTGTTTAAATAAGGTCCACTTAAAATTGAATAATGATGAAGTCAGTTCCATATTGCATAAGTTTCTAAGAGTGTAGCCTTTCTAAAGGGGCGGGGTAAGAGGATATGTCTTTAATATAGGAAAATACAGAACTCAGTGATGTTCTTTACACCAGTCTATGGTCGGAACGATTAATTTTACATTTAATGGGCAGCAAGGACAGGAGGTATATTCTGTGTAAATAGCACACCTGAATGCACAAATCAAAACTCTGTTGAGCAGCAAGGGCACTGTGGCCCAGCGAGGAGGAGGATGGTTATTCACTGCTGCTTTCTGTGCTGCAGGGGTCCGTTCAGCGTCGTGCGGCGATGCATCAACAGGGAGACGGGGCAGCAGTTCGCTGTGAAGATCGTCGATGTAGCAAAATTCACTTCAAGTCCTGGATTAAGCACAGAAGGTAAGAATTAATAATTAAGCAAACTCCCAGCAGACAGGTTTTTCTGATTTGTCAGCATTTCCTGTGTTTGCTCTCTTTATGATGCTTTCTGGTTTATATTTTCTAGAAGTTTTAAAGCAAGGTTCTGTATCTCAAAATTGGCTTTGTGCTTGCATTTCTAGTCTTCAGTAGTTTCTGCATATATTCAGTGGTGATCATAAATATTAGAAAGATAGGTTTAAGCCATTTCTTTTTCTCTTTGAATTTTTTTGTCTTAAGAATGTGGATTTTGTAAATAAAATAGTAGTTCTAAGTCAAAACAGCATACACAGGAAGTAAAGCAAGAACACATGAGTTTTGGTTATACTAGTCTAGATTTAGCAAGTAATTTGCTATAAATGGATGAAAACTTGCTATTAAAGTGCAAAGTTATATAAAAGTTTTTTTAATGTCAGGATTACAGGCAATGCTGCAGAACTGCTACAGTGCAAAAACAAGGCTGTAACTCTCTAATGTTTTCTGCTTTAGAGTAAAAAAATCTATGTTTTACAAGTTGCATACGTAACTTGTGTGTGCATAAAGTTCTTTTTTTACCCTGCATGGAGAAGAGCATTGCCAGCTGAGCGACACTTGCTGTGTTCTCCATGCCCTGTATATTTTTTCTGGAGATCATATTCTTTTGTGCAGTAATGTTTTTTGGGGGTTCCACTGATGCCATGAAAGTCCTTGTGAACCCTACTTCATCAAAAAGGGACAATGACTTCTCTTTGTATTTATAACAAACAGTATCTTGAGCCTTAATGACTAGCTTGATTTACAAGGCAAATCACAGGTCTTGCCAGATATTTTCATTTAATAATGCCATTGCTATTTGTTTTTTCTAGCCCTCTAACAAAATAAGAGGCACATTTTCCACAATATTCAGCTTCTAATTAGCTCCATCATGGTTTTGGCAAGTTATACCAAAACCATTGCATTCTGAGCTACTGAATGTTTATTAAAATGATTTGATACCTTTTAAATAAGTTGTGTCCATATTCTTTTTTTTCTAAGCCTCATTTGAACTGCTGATGATAGGACACATTTCTACCTTTGCTGGAATATTGCCTTCCTGGCTCCATGACATTAAAAGTCAACCTTTGAGGCCGTGAAGAATTTCTGAAAGGGAAAAGTCATAGGCAAAAGAGAAGGGACTCATCAGGAGGAAAAGAAAAGGCAACAGTAATAATAGATTAACTGAAAAAAGGGTAAATGTGGATGGTTTGCAATTTCTGCCTGAGTCTAAAGAATAGGCTTGGGAGTGTATTAAGAAGTCTGGTGTTTTTCCAATTCCACTTTGTGTGTATTGTTGTAATTTTAATTCAAGGTAGCAGATCACTGAGGTATGATCATAAACATTTTCTGGGTTTAGTGGTGCTTTGTTTTGTTTTGTGGTTTTGGATTGTTGTTTGGGTTTCTTTGTTGTTTCGAGATTGGGTTTTTTAAACATTTTGAATTGTTATGCCTTAGATTTGTAATATTAAGTCACAAAGGCACATAAATGTGTAAGTGAGCGTGGAACAAGTTCTTACCTCAACATAAGAATGTGAATTTTTCACAGAGTCTTTCCATCTTCTCTGCTCTTTATTTCTCCTCTTTTTCATTGGCTTGTTTTTTCAGTTGGGTGGTTTTTTTTGCACCTCTACTCTGTCTAGGTTCTAGGGGGGTTTTAAAGATTTTTTTTTCTGGTTTGTTTATTTCTGATGTGGTATTCTTTAAGCATGTTGGTGGGCAGCTACTCTGGTGGTATTGGTATAAAGTAAATGTACCTGTGAGGAAGCTGTGTTTGTAAACTGTGTTAAAGTGTGAGCTGTAATAAAGTGATAAGATTAACCCTTGGAGATACTCTTTACCTTGAAGTTTTGACCTCTGCAAGTTTAATTTGCTCTTGAAGGTTATTTTTGCACAACTCTCCACCTCCAGTCTTTCTTTGAGGCACAGGAGTGGGAGAACAAGACATTCTGCATGTGAGGGAGCTGATGACAATTCGTTCCATTAATTCTCATATATATAAAGTGCTTAGAGCTAAAGGTCCCAATATGCCTCCACACTTTCAGATTAAATCTAAAAAGTCTTTGTTCTTGAATGCTTTTACATAAATACCCCTGTAGGATGATGGGGTAATGGGTAAGAACTTCATTTTGTTTGTCAGCAGTGTACTCTTGTGGCAGAGGCAGCCAACTGCAGAGCAGAGGTGCAGCCAGCAAGGCAAAGCAAGTGATTGTTCCCTCTGTTCATGCCTTGTGGGGCCACACCTGGAGCACTGTGTGCAGTCCTGGTTTCTCCAGTATGAGAAAAGCAATGATGTGCTGGCAGGAGTCCAGCAGAGATGGACTCAGTTGGTCAAGCCTTAATAAGGGAAGCTGAGATGAGATTTGGTGCTGTCTTCAATTACTTCATAAAAAGATACAGAGCAGATGGAGCCAATCTCTTGATTTGGGCACACAGTGAAATGACAAAAGGCCATGTGGACAAATTGCACATGAAGAAATGCCAATTAGAGACAAATAAAAGAAAAATCTGCACCTGATTGCACAGGGAGTTTGTGAACATCCTCAGAGATGCTCAGAAGTGACTTGCATGAGGCTTCAAGCTGCTAGGTCTATTTTTACCTGCTTGGAGGAAGAATTTGGACTAGGTCACCTCCAGAAGGTCCTTCCAACCTAGATGATCCTGTGGTGTTTGTAGCAACGTGTAATCTGTGGGCCAATATAGCTGCAATTCTACATAGGGAGAAAATTTAGGCATAGCATTACTGTGCTAAAAAGGAGATAATTTAAAACTAGTTTTGATATAATTTTTAAAACTAGTTTTGATTTCTTTAACCTTTGAGGCTGCTGGGCACCAAATATGTTTTAAAGGGACTGTTTTCTAAACAATTAATTTAGAAAAATACATACTGGTGTCTTACAATAACGGTGTCTCCTTACCAGGGTAACAAAAACAAGCTGAAATGCTTCTCTAGGCTGATGTGTTACCAGTTGGTGTTATTGTGAGCATCTGTGGCATGTGATAGAGAAGCCACTAGCTCACAAGACAAACTTGTATCAGGTGTGGTGTTCTTTCCATAAGGCTGCTCAGTACTCACAGCATGTGTAGACACAGACATCTCCAGTGATTTTTGTGTCTCGCTGCATCTCTGCGGTGGTTTGATAATAGCAGGGAAAATTAATGCAATGTAATGATGCCTGACAGCTAGCAAATCTAATCTAGGCTAAATTCTATTGGATTTATGTATTAGTATTCATGGTCTTGCTTATTGTGTATCATCAATCTCTGTAGTGTTGTAATTCAACCATATTAATGAAGTATATTGACACCTTGTCACTGCTCAAGTGGCCATGTGATCTGCTGGATTAATGTTGGATATTTTACATGTTGAAAGATTCTACCACAGTTCACTCATATCACAGAGATACAAAAAAAATCAAAAATAAGAAAATGTGAAGGTTGAATATTTTTAGACATAAGAGTCTCTTTTTTGCTGTTCAGTTGAGAGAATCCATGTGGAAGAGTACTTGTTGCTCTCAGAAGCCAGTAGTAGTAGACTCATTGAGGTCTAAAAAAATATATCAGTGTAAATAAACCTACTTTCAAATACAGCTCTTAGTTGCTATACTCAGAACTTTTGGTATAGAAAACTGTGAGAAGCATGTTCTTTATTTCTGAGTTTCTTACAGCTCACATCTTAGTTTGTCCATTTCCTCCGCTGCTCTTTTCACATCCATGCATTTTCTCTTGTCTTTTTTCTCAGCTTCCATGTCTGATTTTTAGTTACCTGCTCTAACACCAAATATCTGTTAAGTGCTGGCACCATTTCTCAGGAACAGAATGGTGATCAGTCCTTACTACTTAGAAGCTAATACACATTATTTGTTTGCCTTTTCTTAAATCCAAATTGCTTTCTTGTAACATGCTAAGTGTTTTTTAAAGCAGTTTAAAGGGCAGTGCTTTGTGCTTACAGTGCATTGAAGTTGTTTTTCAGAATTTAATTCAACATATATTAGATTCTCTTACCTGTAGTTCATTTCTATAGAAGTGTCCTCACAAAGAAGGTGGTTACCAATACTTCTCCAGCTTTCTAACACTCCACACCTTATTTATTAGGTTGATGTGCGTGGTTGATATACAGGTTTGTATGCATTCAGGTCACTGGGAAGCTGAATGAATAAGCTGATAAGGACAGATTGAGGTTTCCTTCAGAACCCAAACTGGTTCTTCTGGAAGCAGGCTGTGAAGACAGTCTGCAAAATGCTTTTGTCTGTGACAAAGAGCAAAATTGTAACCAAGAAAGCACTGTTTTAAATACAGTTCTGGGACTACTTCTAGCACAGTGGGGGTCATGATAATTGAATGGAAACTGGCCTTGCTATGGATCATCTGCTTCAGGAGAAGAATTCCAAAATTATTTAATGGGGCATTGGAATGAAAACTGGGAGGGTTTTGTTGTGTTTTAGTTCTTGTCTTGGGGGGTTTTTTCCCCACAAAGGGGCTCACAGATCTTACCCCTGACTAACTTTCAGATTGTGAGAGATTTTCTTAAAGTTGAGACCTTACTCTTGTTCTGCTTGTTTCATTAAACAGCTTACCCTTGTAGTTTTTCTTATTTTTATTTATTTAATTTATTTAGACTTTCATTTTGTAGAATCTTTTTGTCAGGGCAGTGTTTTCAAAAGGCTTTATTTAGTTCATAGTGAAATTTCATGACAGTATCTTCAGCTTTTGGTACTGGAAGGCTGTAGTGAATCATAAGTTACTTTTCACAAAAGTATCTGTAAGATTCTGCACTTCCCTCCCTGCGTGTTTTCAAGGGTTTCAGAAAGAAAATGTACAATGTCAGCATTGAACTCATCTCTTTTGAGTAAAAAATACTACAAATCTGTATGTCATCATATTTCATGATAGTGTACCATATATAGACTGGATTTGAAGAAAGAACAAGTGAGTCATTGCCTTTGATTTGGAAATACCAGCTAATCTGG